CATACAAATGTGGCGGCCATGTTAGTATATATTATTGCTGATCGTCGGTCTGCATACACATACAAATGTGGCGGCCATGTTAGTATATATTATTGCTGATCGTCGTCTGCATACACATACAAATGTGGCGGCCATGTTAGTATATATTATTGCTGATCGTCGTCTGCATACACATACAAATGTGGCAGCCATGTTAGTATATATTATTGCTGATCGTCGTCTGCATACACATACAAAATGTTGGCGGGGGGCTCTTATGGAGCCTGTTACGTTTATTCCTTTTCACTGTGTCTGAGAGACAGATGGAGCAGGGTTGTCAGCATACTACAATGCATGGACTGTCACTGTGTCTGAGAGACAGATGGAGCAGGGTTTCCTGGGTACTACAATGCCTGCACTGTCCTGCATTGATTGTCATAGCAACTATAATTTTAATAGCTGTGTCATCCTGATGCACGCACGAGAACTGTATCCCATCACCGTGTCTGCATCTGATACAGCCTAAAAATTATTTTTTTTACGAGAGCTATTTTTTGATTTTGTATGGAAAAAAGAGCTCTCGTAATTTTTTTTATTTACGGGAGCTATTTTAGGCTTGGCCAGAGCTACTTTTTCATAGCATGATTTTGTTAAAATTTTCATAATTTTGATGCACTGACTCTAATATCATTCATCAGCATTCAGCACTCAGCACCAGTATCAGACTATCAGTGTTAAGAAATCGTCAACAAATTACATTCGATCACATTTTTTTTTATCTCATTTCACTCGACTAAGAAACCAATCACATTCTTATTCAATTTCATTCACACAGACAGACATGCACTACACAGTACACATAGTCAGGTAACATGACAAAAACAGGAAATCAAGAATTATAATCATGGTAATGATGGTATGCCGTATGGTTATTTTTAAGTTTTTTTTTTTTACTTCATTTCTTTTCATCTTTCAACTTTCTTTTTACATCGACTGAGCAAGTTCAGAACTTCAGAGAGAGTTTTTAGTTACTTTGAGTATGTTAAAAAAAACTTGTACTGGAATCTCTAGAAATGCCGGGAGCTTCTGGGCAAGGTTTTACTTTCGTTTTTCTCCTCCCCAGTCCACGGTACCCCCATGCATAGATCAATGCTGCCGCACATCCGCAAAGTTACAAGTGCCTAGAATCTTTAAGTATATACAGTTTACATTGCTTCTAGATATCTAACTGAATAAAAATAGTCCACTTTCTACGTTAAGAAAAGTTATATTATATATATTATTCTATGTTATCTTCCAAAATTTTCGCTCTCGTAATTGTTGTTACCAGAGCGCTTTGAAAGCTGCGCTCGCCGCTCCCGTGAATTTTTTTCGCTGATCTGATACTATCAGGAGTGATTAATAATAGATTATTATTCTATTACTCTATTATTCTATTATTCAATTTCTATTATTATTCACTCCTGATACCATGGCATGTAGGGTAGTTTTATCGCTTACCACTCGGCTGCGAGTTGGCGGAGGCCCTGAATGGTACCGAAACCCATGAACTGCTGCTGTTCACACACGTGGAAATAGCGATCAGTGTACCTCCGCTGGGTGCGCAGAGCTGAAGTGTTCCGACAATCTGTGTCTGTAGTGGGAAAGTTAACAATCAGATACTATTCCATTTGACATAACTCAGCTTTAATCCATCACAATTCATAAAAGGGGCAGCATTCAATTGCACTGACTGTAGCTCTATATACCTTTGGGTTTAAACGAGAATGCATCTAATGAGGGAGTGAAAGTGCCTATCCTTGGCTGGTTGCATCGCTGGCCAATGAAGTTTTTGCGGCACTTGCACTGGCCCTGCCTTGGCTCACACGAGAGCCCAAAAGAACCTCCTGGGTCACATCCACATGCAGTGCAATCCTGAAATTGAAACAAAGCACATCAGTATTGTTCTGTAGCTACACATACTACAGTACAAAAAAAGCAAGAAAACAACAAAATGAAAACAACATTATGGACATTTTACTAATTTAAGAGAGGTTGTAAGTAGCCTCTTATTATTGTGAACTTTATGCGATTGAGCTTATACCAGCTGCTGCTAACTATACTAATTTTATTTTATTAATTTTAACCCTGGTTATGTTACATTTTTAGTTTAAATATGAGTATCCCTCATGCACATAATTACTGGTGAATCTAATCATAGCTGCGTGCATTTTTAAACATTCAACAAATACAAAATCTCTATATTAAAATAAAATATGATGGGGTAGTTTGCATATCAAGCTTCTTTTATTGTATTATATACTCGCCCCTGTAAGCCTTCCAAACGGGAATGAGTTGTAACCTTCTTTGCACTGATCGCATGCCCGATTGGTAATGCCAGGCTTGCAATTGCACTGTCCAGTCGTCTTGTTACAGACATTGCTAGCATCCACCGTACCATGCCGGTTACACGCACATGCTGGAAACGAAGTCACATGGCAGAATGTGAGAGCAAAAGAGGAAATTGGTCTGGAATAAACAAATTCGTGTACCGTAATTATGTTCCAAGTCCGTTAGTGTGACATTCATACTGGTGCGTTTGAGCATCATGATTATACGTTGTATAATAATATGTATTAATAGCTCTCATAAGAGTGATTTCCTGGGTCAACCTTCACAAACGTGTGCAACCATCTTTTGAGTCATGTACAGCTGTGTGAGCCATATTCAGACATTACACAATACAATAAAACTTGCATATAAGAATCACTTCAGGAAAATGCCACAACAGTTTTTAATTAAAATGTGTCAGTTCTATAGAGGTTGTTTCACAATATAACTGCGACTTTAATGTAAATGCTGAAAGGTACCTCTATAGACAGGTATATCCGACAGGTTCTACCGAGCTATAGAGATAACCGTTAACACGTTCATACTTACCCTTGCATGTTCCAATGTCCGGTTCAACCAGCAGCCCGTAGAATCCGTCCCCACAGAGGTCACATCGCTGGCCGACGATTCCACGTCTGCACATGCACTGTCCCGACACCTGGCCTGTCAGAGCGTTCGACTCTGTCAAGCAAGTGGCGTTGGGATCCAGGGTGCCAAGTGACTCACAATCGCACTCTGCAGTATAGAACCAAGAACTTGTAAGGTGAACTTTGTGTTGCATTGACTTGAACTTAAAACAGGGGTGTTATTATAGCTATTATTAGCTTATGTTAACAGTCCGGTGGTCACTGAGTTTTGTAGAAAAATATGTACATAATTAATTTATGAAGACATACTGGGGGATTTCTAGAATGTAGACACTAAGAAATGAAGAATGCTACTCACGCAGACAGACTTCAGAAGAGTTGAGTGCTGCAGTCTCATTTCTATAGTAACCGGGTAAGCACTTCTCACACTTTTCTCCTGTAGTATTATCTGTACAGTCAAGACATCTTCCACTGCTCGTAAGAGGGTTGAAGACACATGTCTGTGCATGGTTGTTACAGTTGCACCCTAGCAAATAGGCAATGTCAATCATTATTCAACGCCTAAGTCAACCAAAAAAACAAGCTTCTCCTTTTGGAATATATGCTGTATATATAGTATGGCATGAATGGATAGATATTTAGATAGATGGATAGATAGATGGATAGATAGATAGATAAATAGATAGATAGATAGATAGATGGATAGATAGATGGATAGATAGATAGATAAATAGATAGATAGAAAGATAGATCTATACACTATATATAATATAGATTTGTTCATGGCATCATCATATAGATTTATATCTGGAAATAATAAGAAATGGAAAGTAAATCATACTCATGCACTCATTTGGTGTGCCAATGGGGTAAGGCAAGTAGCTTCCTCGTCTCCATGGCAATTCATTAAACATTGGAAGGCAGCGCTCACAGTTAGTGCCAGCCGTATTGTGCTTGCACTGGCACGCTTCTCTATCTCCAACGTCGATGCATTTCCCATGCAAATTGCACCAGCAACTGCAAATGACACAACCAGTGAATGTTGTACTGGACTGATTTAAATTAACAGGAACTGAAATTATAGTGAATTTGTTTTTACAGTATTATTTACACAGCATAATTATATATACCGTCACATGTACAGACCTGCCAACCTGTGATTCATGAAAATAGTAAGGATTTTCTTTTCTTGCAGCAGGCGGCCATTTTGTTTGTATGTTATGCGCGCAATGAATGATGGGACTAACTCTAGATCACGCGAGAACAATGTGAACGTGTGATCCAATATGGCTGCGCCCACAATCGCCAGATATTTCTCGGCTCACAATGTAAAAAACATTAATTTTCACAAGTCGTAAAAAATCGTAAGTTTTCCAGTTTGATCGTACATTCGTAGAAACATCATGGAATTCGTAAGGAATACGAAAAAATCGTAAGGGTTGGCAGGTCTGCATGTATATATGTCACATATAATATGTATCTAATCTATGTTTACATAATGTTAAAAATAGCACATTCAGAAAGAATATTCCTATGATTCCTATAATTTCTACATGGAATTAACCTAGCTATATATGGTCACATCACACAATTAAGTCATAAATCACACATCACGTATGATCACAGCATAAAGTTTCGGCCATCGGAACTTACCGGGCTGTTACCTCTATGTCAGAGATTCCGTAATAATACTTGAGGTATGTGGAGGGGTCACCACCATAGATCTCCCTACCATCAGTTGCTGGGTGCAGCAGTTGTATTCGGAGAACATTGAACAATGTGAAATTCTACAGGTGGAAAAACAAGGTTTGCGCTTATGAATTACCGTGCCGAAAACGTAAAAAGTATTTTCCAAGACACAATGTTAAAGCACTTATCATCTAATATCTTATAGAACCAGTTATATATAGAGAATAATAAGAACTATAAATTAAGAGTGTTATATAAGAACCAATAAGACAAAAAACGATAATATTCTATAGTGGTAATATACACAAGCAGCCCTGAGGCGTGTTCAAAAGAGCGTGCGCTCGATGCGAACGCTCGATGCACGAACGCAGCGCCTCTTGAACGACACACGAGCGCTCGCTGTGCGCATATCCTTAATTAGCAATAATATATTAGCAATAATAGCAATAATATATAAAGCCATTAATTACTGGCTTTATGCAAGATGGCGGCCCCCATGGAGGGTTACTCAGCAGATTTTAATTGTGAGATTTTAATGTCTTTGAACAAGTACTGTTAAACGAATTAGC